GTGTGGAAATGTCTAATGAAAAGATCCGTGGGTCGATCAAACCAGGAGACGAAAGTTGATTCCAGATACAATGTGGTGTTTTGATTTTACTATGACGTTTAATTTAACCAAACCAGTTACAGTGAAAATAGGGAGATTTTTTGTTTATTAGGTTACTGGACAAGAACTATCCGAAATGGATCTCATTCTTAAATAAGCTACAAGTTAAAATCAAGTCAGAAAGTCTAATCGGCCCTTTCCTCCATGCGATATATTCTAACAAATAAAAAGGACTGAAATTGTATAAATATATGCAGAAAGTAAACCTTTGTTAGTGTGTGCGACTGGCGACTGGGGCTTGGTGGCACCGGTACAAGCCGCCTGAGGCAGGTGGCCATGGCTCGGAACAATTGGGCAGGACGGTCGACTAGAGGACGAGGGCGATCCGATTGATTGGTCATCACTTTAAAGTGATTGGTGCAACTGGCGCCCTACTCGGGCAAATTTTATCGATCGCTCATTCGTGAGTGGGACGAGCAAGACGAAAACGAGATGTGGCATCACGTAGCCTAGTGTAGTGACTCATCCGCACACCCGAGGCAGCCTCGGCCGTACGGATCGCCACTAGGTCTCGTTATCCGAAACATTTCTTCATCTGCTCAAGCTCGCCGAGTTACAATCTTCTGCAATGTCCCAGCTTCCCAGACTTCGCTTCACAATTTGTGGTGGAAATTGAATTTTAACCACAAAATTTTGTAAACCACACAAAAGGCCACACCATCTTGGTCTTCATACCTTTGTAAACGAAGTTTTGAAGGCAAGCCAATAAGAAAATTATTCTTTATGCTTAGAGTTTCGTGAATCGCGTCCAAAAACGTTTCCACAGCTTTATGAAACTCCTTTAACCCAAGCCGGTGAGGTAATTTGGCAAAGTGATGCTCTTTTCATTGCGGACTCTATAATTAGGCATTTTAACGTTGATGATACTTGCACTTCGTACTGATTGGATGTAGTTAAGTCAACTTACTTATGCTTTCAGGATAAATTGGTAGAGCCTACCTGTACTATTTTCACTGCCAGTGCTTCCGTGTGCGCTTCCAGCATAGGCAGCGCTGTCCCCAGCGTCGAGATTTGGCTTCTTTGCCATCAAGTCGGAGAGCACATCATCTTTGTCTTCCCGTTTGTAATGTTTCATTTTGTGCAATTGTAACAGTGGTTTTATTCGTGGTTCTCAACGGCCCTTAGCTCGTAGCAAGAGCGTTATCGATGATGATGGTGTTCGACTGGCTATTTCAAGCACTCTGAACTGTTATGATGCTTTTTGTTTAAGGTTGTGATGGAACGGTAATTGTCAGTTTGTTTATTTAGTCTATTGTCATCGGATATTAACTATATTTGCCTCTGGTATGAAGACCAAGATGGTGTGGCCTTTTGTGTGGTCGCAGTCTCCTTTCGTTTTATAGAGGTTGTTTGGACCTATTTTCGCAATATGGTCATATTGGAGTCCATTGCATCATCATTTCCAAAGTTGAATAATGGACGTGGTACATTCCCAAACGTTTCGCCGGCATCGTAGTCGGCATCGT